ACATCACCCACTGTCTTCAATAACAATCTTAAGACAATTGAATGCCAATAAATGCATAACATTTCACACATAAAAATTAATATAACAAAATATTCATGTCATAAGTATTTCTCATTTATCATACTATACCATTAAATGACATCAAATTTCACTGCATTTCTCATTGAACCAGCATCAAAATAAGCACATCAAACCAAAAGGTCATATATCAATTTTTGGTACCATGCTTATAAATATATAAAGCCATTTCACAAAAGACTTAATATAATTGGAAAGACCATCAACCATCAAACCAGATTCGTCACATGGCATGGTTGTCTTACACGAAACAGTTCTTTTAGAATAAAGGCATGCATATAATTAGTCATATATATACAATCAAAGGCCACAAACCCAAAATTATATGTAGGCATTAATTCAAAAATCATAACCAATCAATGGAAACCTTTCAATTTTTCATTATGGTCCTCTGTAATTTTAATTCAAGTGCCTCAATATACAAAGCACCGATATGTTTACTTCCATGAATTTCACTCATGGTTTCAAAAATCATATATTCAACAACAATAAACTGGAAAGAAAGACCGTAACAGTGCATTAAAACTACAAAGGCTATTCAAAACCATTATGAACACGAAGATCGAGAAACCCAATGTGAAGCACTTTCACAATTCATGATTACAAAATTCAATGCAATTCATGAGTCTATGGGTATATAGCGGAACATTATCATTCCAATAATCATGATATTACCAACCGATGCTTACGGTTCCAACCATGACATTTCGATGTTCTCAAAGAAATGGAAACTAACAGTACATCTTTCCATGCAAAATCAAAACATTAGTTGTTGTGACAAAAAACAATCGGTTATTACAAGAAACCGATACGTTCTCAAATTAAGCCGAGACATAATATAAGTATATATATTCCACGATCATGCACATTCAATTCATGAAATTCTGAAACAGTATTTACAATGATAGAATCCAACATAAAACATGATAATATATATCAAAGAAAGCATGAAACCGTAACAGCAATTAGAAAAGAAACCAATTTCTATGCACGTTGTACGAAACAACGATGGAAATGTCAAAATCAAATTTATTTATTCTTTTTTTTTAAAATTCAATTAAGACAAATCTGAATGAGTTTTAAAGTTGCATGGTTACGTAACTTTTGAAATCAGACACGAAAATCGAAAATGAATATATATATATAAAATTCAAAGCCACAAATTGCAACGTTAGCAACTAAGTGCAGATCAATTGCATTGCGGTAAATTCTGATCTTCAAAAACACAGATTAATGAAATATAACGTCGCATAAGATATAATATTATATATCAATTGGAAATCTAAAGACACAAATTTCCAGTCATAGAAAAGTGATACCATTCACATATTATTCATGCAAACAGAAATTATACTATGATTAATCACACAGATTAATCACACAATAAATAAAAAATAGTATATAAAACAAAAAATAAAATATACTGATCACAGGTTCAAAACACCAAAATTGTCTTAAGATTGTTAATGGAATTTCTAATTCTTTGTTGAGTGTTTCATCCTGTGTTGTTGAAATTATGTTTTTACTTTACCGTGTCTCGGTTATGTTCGTTTTCATACTGGTTTGAATTTTTCATTTAAAAAAAAAACGGAAAATTTGTATACACGGTTAACCCTCGGTTTGTTTTGAAACCACCACAGAAATAAAGGGATCTGTTTAATATAATACACTATATATATGTTAAATTGGTTAGCATTGGTGTATCGATTTTCGTGTCCATGCTTTTGAATAGCATTTTCAACACTGTACTCTCGATTTTTTGTACAAAGATTATTATAATATTGGTTTTTCATATTGATTTTGAAAAGTAATTTATCGATGGTCATGCCTTCATATTGGTTTTGATATATACTACAGTACGGTTTGCTTTTGAATACGGAAGTATGTATAAAACCAAAACCTTGCCTTGATATTTGAAAACTACTTCGTGAATATTGTTCTAATATGATATTTGTTAGTTTTCGTGATTTGTCTTCTACATATATATACATCTTCTATTACGTAGTATATATGTTATTGTTCTAAAAGTCCTGTGTGGATTTTGGCTTTCATATATATCATTTGTTTCTCGTTTATCGTGCTACATTGTATTTTAAATAGAATGTGTCATGTTGATGCTTGAATTAATGTTTATAATTGATATGCGATTGCTTATCAAATGCACTGTGTGTGAACCGTGGATGTCTTTTGCAAGTGAAACCATATGAAGTTTCTTTCTCAATAGATATCATGTATTACTTGATGCATTACGGCTTTCGGATGCCATTAGACACTGCATGTTGTGTTTTGGTTTGTGAAAAAAAAAATTGATAGCCATTACTGTGGCACGAAATGTTGCACCGAATGGTTGATCTTGAGAGTCAGACCAAAATGTCTCCGTTGATTCATGGACTCATACCATGTATAAAGGGTGCATTGCAATTAAATCCATGATTGCACATAAAAAAAAAAAGGAACTTCAAAGGGTCAGTTTTGAAATGCATGAATTGATGCATAAAATAGTTTTTGGTGGAAACTTGATGGGGTTTTCACGGTTGGAATTTGATGGTTACATTTGAATAAGTAACCACAAGTGAACCAAACGGTTCATGTGAATTTATGGCTGAAGCACAATTTCATGTTTCCATAATCGTATCCGGCCCGAATTAATTTTGTCATCTAAATATTGAGTTTCTTAATTTATTGGCTTTAATTGAATTTGTAGCGGGGCTATTAGTATGAGAGAGAAAAAATGACATTTGGAAAGTAGTGAATTAGATGGCATTTTATATTGAATACGTGATTAATATATATGTGCATTTTTTGAGAATATGTGTTGACTGCAATGTTGCAAACAATACATAATAATTGTGTTTTTGCATGAAAGAAAAATAACTTTGAGAATGCAAAATGTGGAATCTTAAATTCTCTGTGTTTGCAAAATATTTGCATTTTGGAATTAAAGTATGATAAATTTCTTGAAAATATCTGAGTTGATTTAATTCCAAATTATATGTTTTATTTCAAATATCATAAATGATGTGACGATTATGTATCATTTTAAGGGTTAAATTGGAATTTATTATTTGATATATGTGTTATAGTCGAATAATGTTAAATTGAAAGTTTAAGGTATTAAGGAGCGATCAAGGGGGAGATTACGATGACCCTTTGAGAAATTTGTTTAGAGTTTGAAATTTTACACAAAACGATGGCTTCTTATGCTCCACAATCCAATGGGATTGTTGAGAGGAATGATGTCCTCTTTGAGGAATTTTGTTTAGAGTTTGGTACTATATATCAAACGATTGCTCCTTATGGTGTTGCAATTTAATGTGATTGCGTATAAAGAACCAGACATTAAATAAAATGATGTTGTTGATGTCTGGTTTATGGGGCAAAGTCATTTAATGACAAATTATATAATCAGTAAAGTACCCCACAAGAAAATTAAGAACATTCCCTATGAAATGTGGAAAGGTAGGGAGCCTACCTTGAATTATCTTGAAGTGTGGGGGTGTTTGGCTAAGGTTGCGGTTCCTAAACCTAAAAGGTTGAAAATCGGACCTAAAACTGTGGATTGTGTATTCATTGGTTATGCAGGTTTCTGGTTTATAAATCTGATGTTTCAGATATACATGTTAATACGGTTATTGAGTCAAGGGAAGTTACTTTCCTTGAAGACGTATTTCCGTATAAGAAAATATATGAATCAAGTGGTAATAATGATGATCAGGTTGTGATACCTCAGGATGCTACAACTGATACTGATCCTGTAGAGGATGTAGAAGATGAACCTAGACGTAGCAAGAGGCAAAGGACCGCCACATCCTTTGGACCTGATTTTATGACATATCTATTAGAAAATGAGCCTCGGACGTATAAGGAAGCTATAACGTCCCCGGAAAGACCATTCTGGGAAGAAGCTATCAATAGTGAGATAGAATCTATCTTGTCCAACCACACTTGGGAATTGGTAAATCTTCCTCCTGGCAATAAGCCTTTAGGAAGTAAGTGGGTTTTCAAAAGAAAAATGAAAGAGAATGGCACTATTGATAAATATAAAGCAAGGCTTGTGGTAAAAGGTTACAGGTAACGTGAAGGTATCGATTTTTCAATACTTATTCACCAGTTACAAGGATCACATCTATTAGGATGTTGATCGCGGTAGCTGCATTGAATGGATTACAAATACATCAAATGGATGTTAAGACTGCCTTCTTAAACGGCGACTATAACAACTCTCACTGTCAAAATATATAACAGTAAATCAATCGAGTGTTTAATTAGATTAAACACGTAATTAACGAAATGGTGAGTAGGAAATCATGTGATAAATATGATAATTAATTTAAGGATACAGTTCATACCATGTAAGTCTAATAGGGCCCAAATATAATTATGGATTATATATGAGGATATGGATGTTATGGTAGTAAAAGATCAGATTTATTTTAATAATTAGACGAAATAAGTATAATTATGATTTAGAATGTATAATTAATTAGTTTAGCAGAATTAGTGGGTTTAAAGTACCTTTAATTTAATTAGATAATTGCTGTAATAATTATTAAAATTAAGTTGAGATAAATTAAATAAAAGAAAATCCAATAAGAATTTAATTGAGGTTAGAAGAATTGAAGATGTATATAGGGTAACAATTGAAGTTACTTGGACTTTAATTTTACTAAAGCAAATCTCTTTTTGCTGCACCTCCACGTCACTTTTATTTCCTTGTAGTCAAGTAGTAGCATTTGAATTAAGCAACCAAGTAGCAATTGCTTAGCCTTCCAAATCGGTTTCATATTCCTTTTGGTTTTTCACGATAGTTTTCTTACCTTGTCTTTAGTGAGATAGCAAAACAACCATCATGTTGAAAAGTCAAAAAGGAGATGGCATGAAAGTTAATTCATTTGTTATAAAGGGTACCCAAAGTCGGTTGCCTCTTTAAGTCTCATTTCCACGGTTCATCCTTTTGTTTCTTCTTCTTTTACAAAACCGAACGCATAAGAAAGAATAGGGCAAGCGTACAACTTCATTTCCTGGCATCTTCCTGCTTCGGTTTCTCCAAAGAAATCAAAGACAACAACCTTAAGATCATACCCCAAGTGAAAGCGCCTTGTAAGAAGCCTTATTTGGTGAGATATTCCCCTTCCATGGTTGCGACCTCAAGGCTGTCAAGGGAGCTCTAGTGGACTGCCTTCTTTATTTCTTGTTGGAGAAAATATCCTAGCTTCTAGAGAAGTTAATTAAGGTATGTAAATTGATCTTTAATGGCTGTAATCATGGCTGGAAAACAGATTTATAATGTGTCTTGGATGAATTTTATTGAGGTTAAAGGATGTATGTATGTTGGAATTTAATTGGTTCATGGTTTGTTGTTATTGGATGATGCATTCTTCTAGTTGTATGCTTAAAACAATCTGCACATGGGGTGAATTAAGGAACCCCATATGGTTCGACCTTTATGTGTAAAAAGATGCACACTAGGTGTTTGTAATAATGCCTAAAAGAAATCAAGAATTAAGAAGGTCTTGTGATGAATTAAGTTGAAGAAAATGATGTAAAGTTCACTAGATTTTGGTGATATCCCCATAGGGCAAATCTGCCCTATGAATGATGAATGGTATGGAAGTGATTACATAGGTTTGTAATGAGGTATACATAAGTTAAAGATGCATGAGAATTGATTAAATCATGATACAATGAGTTTGAATTGAAAATAATCCGAATCCTTTGTTTTTGGATGCCTCAGCCTTTGTAGAAATTTAAGGGTGGATATTATTATGAAGTCGTCAACAAAGATTAGAGTATGTTAGATAATTTGTTGAAGATTGAATCCATAGAGAACCAATTTAGAATCTTTAGAAAAAGTGTTAACTCTAGGAACCTACACATGTGATTTTCAGCCCTCTTCATCAAAATGTGTGAGAGTGGTGTTTGAATACTTGTTTAAGTAAAATCTTTAACGTGTGGTTGTATAAGGTGCAATGGATTCACTTCTTGGTTAATTAAGAATGTAAAGTTCATAAGTTTAGTATGAAAGTGTTATCTATTTTATAAGAACAACTATGTAATTTAATAAAAAAATTATTGAGGGCTTGTGATTGAATTATTAATCACACAAATATGAAATAGATCAATCTAAGTAGTTAAATGAAAGGATGTTAGTTATGTGAAGTTAATAGAAATTTTATGTAAGAAATATTTGTATGAGAATCAAGTTAATTTGATTAAGTATGGCAACAAAAGAATTGTATATATGTTTATATATAGAATTCGGCCATGAAGGAATAATGGGCATAGATTATGTGTTTTCAATTCAAGTGATTGATTTATAGCATTTTCCTAGAATAAGTAAGTATAATTCCAATGGTTTAAGATACGTGAAGCTTTTTTTTAAAGTGTATGAAATGTCAACTATAAATTAGTAAATTAATTAACTAGTTGAGGGTCTAAGTTATGAAGTATAAATTAAGTGTAGACTTGTGGTATGGCATGAACTGTCAAGGGAAATAAAGTTGTCAAGTTGGTTATGAAATTGACATATGAAATATAATTATTCGGATTTCAAGTAATGTATATTTCATTGGAAATTAATGGTACTTTTATATGTACGGTAACAGAGTGTAATCAGATGAAGTAGGTGGACGAACAACTTGTAGACAACCAAGTGTACGGGTTATTAAATAGCAAGTTAGCAGCAGGAAAGAGACGACAGGTAAGCTTTCGGTTAGGAGTTTTCTCAGCCTTTTTGTTCCGCCATGATCAGTGGCGATTATGGTTTCCGTATGGATATAATTGTTGTTAATATTGATACTTTGCGTAGTTGCATTCATATAGTGCATGCATATGATATTATTTATGTTATGATAAGTTAATATGATATGATCTTCAATGAAATAAAGCCTTGGAAGTGTAAGTTATGGTTTCTGAACAGAGGAAACAATTATGGATATGATCACGGTATACATAAGGTATAGACGATAATACTTTAGTTCTCTAATCATTATGAGTATGCTATTGAATATGATACGACATTACAAATATAAGATGGAAGCCTTATTCATACATAAGACATGAACATACTTAAGATTAATAAGAAAGTACATTATAAGAATAAATGAGAATTATTAGAAAAGATATATGATACAGAAATTCTAATATGGATTATATGGTGTTATCTATGTCTTGGTACTTGATATTTTCTTGCAGGAAGTGGACTCTTGGGTGGAGACTGCTCCATAAGCCCCAAGTTTATTGAGATTCATTCTCACCCCGCGTTATGGGGATATATTTCAGGTATCGCAGCAGTTGACGATCGTTCTCGGGGCAAGAGGCTCGTGGTTGATGAGTAGATCTGAGCATAGATGTTGCCTGCTTATTTTGGGAGTCTGTTGTATATATTGTGACACTGTGATGTATTATGTTTATGTAGGTTGATGTAGGATGTTGTAGTTATGGCACAGAGTCACCTTTTTGATATGATATATATAGAGTTATGGATCATGTATGTATACTACTGTATATGATATGGAATTGTTGTATATTGTGGGTTGTAAGAGCCCCAAGACATTGCTGGTCCTTGTGTGTGCCACCCATTGGATTATTAGGTATATTTGTGGTATTAGCAAGCTTATGTAAATTTGGGGATTTAAGGAAAAACAAAGGAAACTCTGGCGAATTTTCTGTAGAATTGGCAGATTTTAGGTGAACTTCGGGAGAGCATATCTCCCTTCATAGAGGTCCGATAGGGACGTGCCATACGCCTTTTTGAAGCTTGAGATGTCCCCTACATTGTGTAAAAATATTAGAATTTTATGGGTTTTGCGCAGCCCTGTGGAAGTCAGTGAACACAACTGCCCTGTTTTGCCCTGCACTTGGGGGCTGTTTTGGTCCAGTTTTGGGAATTTTATTCCTGCTTCATTTCTTGGTCAAATTAAGCGTATGATATATCAAATTGAAGATTGAGGTGTCTAGTTTATAGAATAAAAGTTTGAGAGCAATTGGATGAGTGAATTTTCTGCAGTAATTCGAGGAGTGAGAGAGGTTTTGAGCTGTTTTGGGGTTGGTTGGCTGTTTTGCTTATCCAACTTCAAACGGCGATATCCGGAGCAAACGTGCTCCGATCATAGCGTGTGATAGCTTTTTAGAAAGGTAATTAAGTAAGAAAAAAATATAACCTAAGTGGAAGGTCTGAATTTTTGTGGTGCATTCGCAGTAATTTAATTAGTGAACCATGTTCGGGTAAGTAAAAACGTAAAAGTTAGTAATTGGCTAAGTGGGTTTATGGGAACCCCTTAGTAACTTATGATAAGTAAAATAAGACATAGAAGTAGTTTAAATAAGTATTCCGCAAGAGTTTACAGTTACGGTCACAGCTTTTAATTATTACGTTTTTATTATTTTAAATGCTCGCGTAATAATCGTAAAAAGTTTATTCGCATTTTTATAAATGAATTGCTGTGATTGTAACTGCGCTTAATATCATATTAATGTTAACAATACCAGTGTACAACGGGCTGTTACATTTTATGGTATCAGAGCAGTTTTGTTAGGGAACTCTGATAATGTATAGATGTGTTATGTGCTGCATAGTTGTATGTAGATTCTTATCGATTACTGCATATGTGATTCCTTAGTGTGGGTCTGATCAGCCCATTCCTTTGTGTTACATGTGTGGTTATCGTAAGAAGCCTGCGTGGCAACCTTGGAGCACCAAATGTAAATCCTTAGCCTGATGTTGTGGCTGCAGTGTTAACTGCTCCATGGACATGAGATGACGGTATGTAAAAATATAAATAATAGAGGACTTAAAGAAAACAGACTTAAGTGTTTTGTCTGAACCTTTTGTTGAAATTGTAAAGTTGTATCCTAAGTAAAAATTGTAAACAAACCTATGGTGTGTACAGTATTATCATAGGAGAAATTGTAGTGTTGTGGATAATAAATATATATAATTGAGAAGGATTTATAGTATGAAGATGGTATTAGTAAAATTTCTATGTATAAGTGTAGTATAGTAAAACAATTATGTACAGGTGGACTGGGTGACTTAGAACCTGACGAATTATTGGAAGGTACGAACAAGTATGCTTATATATGAGTGAATATTTTATGTTTGATTAGAAGTTATAAGTTCCTGATAGGTGGTGTACACTTGAATGAATTGGGATGGTTACTGTAGAGAAACAAATGGCATATTTGATGTCTAATCCTAAGGAATTTGACCAATTGAAATTATTATGTTAGTGAAGTGTTAAATTGAGAGACATTGAAATCCATAAGGAGTTAGTGTTGAGTAAACATAGGTGAGATGAAGTAATTATGTAGTATGGGTAGAAGAAGAAATTGGGAATATTGCCATGGATGACATAAGATAAATGTACGATGAAGGCGCTATTGTAATTAATGGATGTCGATTCAATGTGGCAGACGTGTCAGTGATAAATGAATAGGATGGTTGAAATGTATAGTCATGTGTAAGACAGTGGTGAGAATTGTAAAGGAATTATGATCTAGTGGTCTATATATATATGTACCACTAATAGTAGTATGCTTGTGAAATCATTTGGTATTTGATATGGGTTGATAGACGGAGTAGAGGTATTTCAATGTAATGAATATTCTACAACCACCAAGGGTGGAAGTGAGCAGGAAAATTGATGGGACTCAAGCAGGAGGTCAGACTTATATATATGAGCCACTTACTGGGGAGGAAAACCTCAAGATAGCTAAAGGTATGAAATTTTTGAAATGTTTTCTATAGAATACTCATCTAGTGTGATGAAAATTGATAGGTAATTACATTAAGTGTAGATACATTCATAAGAGTAAAATGAAATTGAGTGTGAAAATGATATGACCAGTGAAAGGACTAGAGTACCATTGAATGATGAAATTGTATTATCAGTGCAAGGACTGATGTACAATAAAGTTGTGTATTGTATTATCAGTGCAAGGACTGGTGTACAATAAAGTGGTGTATTGTATCACCAGTGCAAGGACTGATGTACAATAAAGTTGTGTATTGTATGATCAGTGCAAGGACTGATATACAGAAAATTGTGAATTGTATCATCAGTGCAAGGACTGATGTACAATAAAGTTGTGTATTGTATGATCAGTGCAAGGACTGATATACAGAAAATTGTGAATTGTATCATCAGTGCAAGGACTGATGTACAATAAAGTGTGTATTGTATCATCAGTGCAAGGCTGATGTACAATAAATTGTGTATTGTATGATCAGTGCAAGGACTGATATACAGAAAATTATGAATTGTATCAGTAGTGCAAGGACTGATGTACAATAAAATTATAAATTGTGTTAATGATGAACTTAGTTCTATACGATTTGAACGATAACATGACAGAAGAAACTGTTAAGAGTTAGGGAATGTGTACGAGATTGTGAAGAGAATATGAATTATTATAATATTGACTATGTTATAAACCAGGTCTGAGGGTTAACCAAAAGGAAAGTAAACTATCGGTGGGGAGAATCAAACGAGGAAGTATAATGAATTTACTTATATGTAATATGTGTATATTATACCACTACTACTATTATTATTGGGGGTAGCCCCATGTGAATATACCAAACACATTTGGCCGTTATATACGGAAATGTTACAGACACCAAATGGACTGGGTCCAGGTGTGATCTGGGGCGTACTAGGTACACGTTTTACCGTTATATACGGATATAATATATATATGAATTTCCCTATGCACTGAGTGCACATTATATGAATTGATATTACTTTTTCTGTGCGGCTTATGTGCCCGGAGTGTATAGCTATCTCCGTGCGGATTATGTTCCCGGAGACTATTAGTAGTTGATAGGAGTAATATGAGACAGGGAAGTATCCCGCATTGATGGGACTGCTAATATAGTTGAGGTGTTATATATAAATGCACAGATAAGAAACAATTGGTGATGCTCCTAGCACAGGGGCAACTGGTGGTAGATTACCTATTACTGCGTGAATCATAAGGGCAGATTCTCTGATCGGAGGGTCATTTACATCTGGGGCCCTTAGGACAGCTAGAGCTCGAGGGGTTTGACCTGGGGATATTTTACCCACCGTATTGGGAGGATTGTGTCGTGTGAAGAACGCAACACAGGATATCAGGTAACTTTATGTGAACAGAAATATATCGAGTGTAATATAAAATATAAGACGTCATGAGAAGGTAGTTTGAGGTGTGAGTTCCGAGCACTAGGACATGTGGGTACGTGTACACCGAGTGTAAATTATAAATGTGACGTTGTAGGTGAAAATATTCATGAATGGACTTGTGGGAAAAGACCTGGGAATGAATGATGTAACAGCCCGTTACGTACCGGTATTGTTAACATTAATTATGATATTAAGCGCAGTTACAATCACAGCAGTTCATTTATGAAACGCGAATAAATTTTTTCCGATTATTACGCGAGCATTTAAAACATAAAAAGGCGTAATAATTAAAAGCTGTGACCGTAACCATAAACTCTTGCGGAAGACTTATTTAAACTATTTTTATCACTTACGTTACTTATTATAAGTTACTAAGGAGTTCCCATAAACTCACTTAGCCAATTTCCAACTTTACGTTTTACACCAATTCGAATATGTTACACTCTAAGTTTTTCTGCGACCAAACAGATCGCAACCAACCCTACTTCTCAGATTATATCTTTGTGTTACTTAATTTCCTTTTTAACAAGCTAAAATACGCTCAATTCGGAGCTCATTTGCTCCGGTTATCGCCGTTTGAAGTTGGATAAGCAATTAGCCCAAACAACCCCAAAAACAGCCCAAACCACTCACTTTGCCCGAATTACTGCACTCAATCTACTCAACCATTTGCTCTCAAATTTTTATCCTACAAACTAGACATCTCAAACTTCATTTTGACATATCACACGCTTAATTTGACGGAGAAACGAAGCGGGAATTAATTTCCCAAATCCGGTCCAGAATCTGCCTCAGGTGCAGGGGCACATGGGCAGTCCGTGTTTCTCTATTTATTTCAGGCCGAAGATCAACCCAGAATTTCCTCAAATTTTGACACAAGGTAGAGGACATCTCAACCTTCAAAATGACGTATGGCACGTCCCTAGGGGACCTCTATAGAGGGAGATATACTCTTCCGAAGTTCGCCTAAAATCTGCCAATTCTACAGAAAATTCGCCAGAGTTTCCTTTGTTTTTCCAATAATCCCAAATTTGTAAAAGATCATTTAAAACCTCAATGTACCTAATAAACACATGATAATACAGTAATAATCCAATGGGTGGCACACACAAGGACCAACAACGCCTTGGGGCACTTACAACCCAATCCAGTTTATAGTTATTAAACATAGAGTCCATATTAATCATTCTTAAGTAGTTGCAATCACTAACACCTTTTTCATGCATATTTCCATCATACATATTATCATAACCTAAAATAGGCCTAAGGCCCTTCCATCATAATTAGACATGCATCAATACTATTACAATATGGCTTTACAAATTACAACTTGAAACTAAAACTTCAAATTACATTCTTCTAAAATTTCGACTTAATTAAAAGACAACATAACCAAATACATCAC